TAAACATGCCTTATTTTGTGATAACTCCAATAGTTTGATTATTTCATCATTTTGTTTTTGTCATTCTATTTCATTCAAAAAGTTGTTCTTTATTTAAAAAGTGCTTCAGGATAAAAACCCCAAAGTGTAGATCGTGTTTCTTAATAATACTGCACATTAGTGTAGAGAATGAAAATAAATACTCGAATCCTATCTAATTAGGAATTTCTGTCATTATGCGACAGCAAAAATGATTATGGACCTAATTTTTTATTTTTTTTTAAATTTCTATTGAATGCATAAATATGGAAAATAAATAACTGGAAACAAAACCGAAAAAAACACTAGATTAAGATTGATGTGGTAGTAGCAGTAGTATTAAATATTAAATGAAATGGCAAAAGTTTGAAAAATAGTAAAATGCTCTTCATGGTCCGGAGAAGGAGTAATACAAATGAGAGACAAGTTGCTCCTGAGTCTGTACTATTAAGTCCCGAAAGAATTTGAAAGGTCTTTAAGTAGAGGCGGAATCCGAATTTAAAGCTTATGGACTCGGTATTCTAATCCTTTTACAGTTATTGAATTTTAAATTAATAATTTGTACATATTCAATAAAATTTTCAAGAGAAATATAATATTTGGACCAAAATTTTTGAATTCGGCCGAACCTAACTGAAAATACTAGCTCAGCCTATGATCTTACAAAGTGTTAAAGAGTTTTTAAACGGGTAAAACACTACCGAAGACCTATATGAAGGCCCCAAGAAATAATAAAACCTCAATTCTATGAGGCGTCTTTATATGAAGAGTAAAAATATATTTGCATCGATATTTACATTTAACTAAACAATTAATTTTAAGATCAATAGAATTTTATTGAGAGTAAATAGTATACAAATTCATATGCTTGGTGGGCATGAATCATAGTGGTCCAGGAACAACTGAGAAAGCCTATTTTTGTGGACTACATTCAATGAAACAAATTAAATGGTGAAAAGAATAGATATGATTTTCAACACCTTTATTCTGCTGTGTCCGCCACATTTATTAGTAAGATAATATTTTGCCCAAAGATACCCAATTCTCAAGTGATTCTTGCACTCCCAAGTCAATGGGCTGTTTGATTTGACGTTACACTAATTGTTTTGGACTTCTTTTGAACTGTAGGGTTCTCTCGACACTATTCTTGGGTGAACACTGTCGAAGTATTACAGAATGGAGAAGTATGAAAATTAGGGAATAAAATATTTAGCTTTCGACCGTACAGTTTTTGGAAGTTTTGAATTTTACGGACTATTTGATTGTGTTTTTTCTTTTTTTGAAATTTACAGACTATTTAAAAAAATTTATGAAGAAAGTGTTTCTTTCTCAAGAAATATTTTGGGCGAAGAAGTTCTTGAGTTCCATAAAAAATTTGAGAAAATTGGTCGAGTGACCTCCTTAGTATTATATGTCCGGTTTAGTGATTTTTCGGTTACAAACAGTGGCAGACCCAGGATTTTGTGCAAGCGAGTTCAATATTAGATGTACATAACTTTAGTCGTAAAATAGTAATTGTCAAGTGAGTTTAAATAAAATATTTATATAAAATTTACGCATCTTTAATCCTAATTTATACATATACACAGTATTATTTTGTGATGAAGCGGGTTCAGTTGAACCCGCTTGCTACCACGTGCGTCCGCCACTGGTTACAAACGAAAGAAACATAACTTTATTAGATACATTCTGATAGTTGATTGACCCTTTGATTAATGAACTTGAATATTATTGCTAAAGTGTATGTTTTAGAAAAACAATCACAATAAGTGGCAGATGGATCTCGTTTATGCAGCAATTCACTGCATATTCTTTTTTTTTTTTTAAAAGGAAGTAAATTCTTTTAGAAGTGAAGGCGTTTGACAGGGGAAAGGAAAAAAAATTACAAAATTCACGAGAATCGAATTTTTTATGAACTTATAAGGGTAAGATGGTAGAACTATAGTGAAGTACTCTTCTTAGCATGTTTGTATACTATTAGATGCAGTGGAAGATGATTCTTGTTTATGAGTTCAATTGAAAGAAGTATTTTCGTTAAATTCATAATTTGAACAGTAAAATATATTTAGTGATAAAAATTTTAAATATTAAACTCATCAAATTAAATTTAAAATTGTGAATTCGCATTCGAATTTATTGCAAGGGAGATAACACAATCGTTTGTCCCAACAAATTTGAGCCAGCAGAGCAAACTCAAACGTTCAATTCCGTGTCCAAAAATATTAATTCATATAAAGCATAGGACAACAAATGACAGAAAGATTATATTCACAGAGTCAATTAATGCAGATATAGGACGGTGAAATTTCAAACATTGCGACCGTAGCATGTATAGAGAGGTGGCACATTGTCATTGGTTTGGTGGCTAAGACTCGCCAATAATTTCTTGAGCCCAAAAAGTACACTGATTGAGTGGTCGGTCACTGGACTGTGAGTGTGATTTGCGTGGCTGACGGGCTAGGTTAGTCAATGCATTGTTGGACTTCCATAAGACTCTCTCTCTCTCTTCCCCTCTGTTTACTATGAAGAAAAGTCTTTCTACGTGTAATCAATTTTTTTACGTTGTATATCACCGTAAAGCAATATGTTTAGTTGCCAGCGACGTATTCTGGTACACCGTGCATGAGAGTGGTAAATGTGCGGAGTTGGGTTGGATATATGCGTGTTAAAAATGGCTAATATAAAAACGGATAAAATATTCGATCTGATCCACATTTAACACAGATAGAAAACATAGGTTAACCGATGGATAATATGAATATCAATATTATACATATCTTCTTGAATATGATCACTTTTGAAAAAATTCCTAATCTCTCAGATTTGAGGAAGCCCCAATTTGAGTCTTTGCAAATGTAAAAATTAAACACATTAGTTATCATTTTTTAAGTGGAGAATATGATTTTTATCCATATTTGACTAATTTAAAAAAAATCATTATTCAACCCTTTTTTGTTTTGATAGAAATGCCAACCTTGAACAATAATAAATAAGATCACAAAAGAAAATATATCAAAAGAGACATAATAATTTAATTTGGTTTTTGACAATTTACTGTTTATAAGAAATTCACTAATATAAGTATACATCAATTCAGTGATTTTTCCCAAACTTAAAAAAAAATCAAATAAGACAATCAGGAAACACCTAACTGTTAATGGAGGTCAGCTATGGAGGTGAACACAAGAGGAACTGAAATGAGAAAGCAAAGGAAGAGGAATTCATTTCTCTCTAGTTTCAATATTGAGCTACAAAGCTGAAATAAAAATACAGTCCACTATTTATACACAAGACTAACTAACTAACTTGTTTTAATATAATCTTACACTAATGCTAGCTCATTAACATATGGCTTCTAGCTGTGTAACTGCTCCTAACTAACTGCCTTAACACTCCCCCTCAAGCTGAGGGATGAAATATGTTCTTAATTTCCAACTTGCCTACCAGAGAATCATGTTGTGGTCTGCACACGCCTTTTGTAAGCAAGCCAGCAAACTAATCCTTAGTTCCAATCTGTTGAGTTTGTATCTGCCTTCTTGAATCTTTTCTCTTACAAAATGACAATCAATGTCAAAGTGTTTGATCCTCTCATGAATAATGGGGTGAGATGTAATCTGAATTGCAGCTTTGCTGTCACAAAATAGTTGCACAGACAAGTTAACCTCCACTCTAAGCTCTTTAAACAGCCCAATTAACCAAGTGATCTCAGCCACAGTTGATGTCATGCTCCTGAATTCTGCTTCGGCGGAACTCCTGGAAACAATACTTTGTTTCTTTGATTTCTAGGACACCAAGGCTTGTCCAAACTTCACCATATAGCCGGTTACTGACTTCCTGGTTTCCACACATGCTCCCAAATTTGAATCACAGAATGCTATCAATTCTGTGCCTTCACCTGCTAGCATAAACAATCCAAGACATGTTGTGCCCTTAATGTATCTAACTACTTTTATGGATGCATCCATATGAGATTGCTTAGGAGCATGCATGTACTCACTAAGTACCTGGACTACAAAGGCAATATCAGGCCTAGTCATAGTCAAGTATAGTAGTCTGCCAATTAGCCTTTAGTAATTGCTTATGTCTTCTAGCTCTGTGTTAACTGAGCCATCATTAGTGTGCAAAAACTTGTCTGGTTCTACAGAAGAGATCTTGTGATTGAACTCAAGAGGAGTGGCAGAAGTTCTACTGCCTGGTAATCCCATTTCAAGCACTAGCTCAAGTGCATACTTCCTTTGATTCATCAAAATCCCTTCTTTGGATCTAGAGAACTTAAAAAAAGGGTAGCCCGGTACACCAAGCTCCCGCTATACGTGGGGTCAGGGGAAGGGCCTGACTACAAAGGTCTATAGTATGCAGCCTTATCCTGCATTTCTGTAAGAGGCTATTTCCACAACTTGAACCCGTGACCTCCTGGTCACATGGCAGCAACTCTACCAGTTGGATCTAGAGAACTTAATACCAAGAAAATACTTCAGTTCTCCCAGATCCTTCATCTTAAACCTAGCTTGTAAATCTTTCCTCACTTTCTAAATAAGTGTTAAGCTAGTTCCAATCACCAATAAGTCATCCACATATACCAATACAACCACAAGGTCACAACCTAACTTATGTGTAAACAAAGAATAATCATAGTGAGATTGAACAAAGCCCTTGGCAGTCAATGCACTAGTAAGCTTCAAGTTCCACTGTTTGGGAGCCTGTTTAATCCCATACAGTGACTTATGAAGCCTGCAAACCTTCTGTTGCTCATGTAACTCCCCCTGGCTGGCAAAGCCATCTGGGATGTGCATGTACACTTTTTCAAGGAGATCACCTTGAAAAAAAGTATTGTGTACATTCATTTGAAAAATATACCATCCAGATGCTACAGCCAAAGCCACCACAAATCTAACAACCACCATCTTAGCCACAGGAGAGAAGATCTCTTTATAATCCAAACCTTCTAGTTGACTATACCCTTTGGCAACTAGTCGAGCCTTTTACCTCTCCACCTCACTAGTAGACTTATACTTCACTTTGAACACCCATTTATACCATATAGGAGTCTTACCTTGAGGAATATCAACAATTGTCCAAGTCTGATTAGCTTCTAAGGCAGAGATCTCAGCTTCCATGGCCTCAATCCACTTGGAATCTGCCTTGGCCTCATCATAAGACCTTGGCTCAATAATAGCTGAATAAGCTGCAAGTGATACCCTGTAGGCAGGTGAGAGATTATCATAAGTCACACAATATGATATAGGATGAGTGCAGAAAGAAGTCTTGGTCGACACTACATAGACTTCCATCCAGATAGGAGGCTTAGTCAGCCTAGAAGATCTCCTTAAACCAGGATTAGCAGGAGAAAGAAGAGGAGGTGAAGATGAATGATCAGTAGTAGAGAGAGAAGATGTAGATGAAAGGAATGGACTAGGTTGATCACTCAAAGGGGGTAGAGAAGGATAGGGAGTAGAAGATGGACTGAGGGAGTTAAGGGATCTAAGATCATGCAGAGTAGGACACTCAACATCTCTGAGTTCTAGAACTGGAAACAAATGAGAGGGAAATGTGTGTAGATGTTTGAAATGGAAAATGTCTTCTCTGAACACAGTGTCTCTGCAAATAAAGAAGAGTTGGTAACTGAATTCATAAAGAACATAACCCTTATAAACTGACGAGTAGCCTAGATGAACAACAGGAACAACTCTAGGACAAAACTTGTCTGTTTCCGTTAGTAGCATAACACAGACTACCAAAACCTCTCAGGTGTTGTAGAGATGGAGACTTGTGAAATAACTTTTCAAAAGGAGATACTCCCTTCAATACAATAGTAGGAAACTTATTTAGAATATAAACAACAGTAGTAACACATTCACCCCAAAAGTTGAGAGGGACAAAGGCCTAAAATCTTAAGACCCTAGCCATATCAAGAATGGACCTATGTCTTCTTTCAACTCTGCCATTTTGTTGAGGAGTGTATACACAAGAGCTTTTATGAACTATGCCATGCTCTTGTAATAACCCTCTGACTTGTTTGTTAAAGAATTCAGTGCCATTGTGTGACCTTAGACACTTGACACTACTGTGGAACTGATTTTTGACTAATGACAAAGCATTTCTCTAGATCATAATAGATTCTGCCTAATCACTCATTAAAAAAAGCCAGATAAACCTTGAGTAGTCATCCACCAAGGTCATGAAATACCTCCTACCATAATGAGTAGGCACTCTGTATGCCCCCCAAACATCAGCATGTATGAGATCAAATGCATTAATAGAACATGCATTACTTGAAGAAAAAGGATTTCTGATTTACTTAGCAACATGACACACTATACATAAATGCTCCTTTAACTGAGTATTAGGCAAATTTTCTATCTTCTTCAGAACTCTTAAAGGTACATTACCTAACCTCTTATGCCACAAGACAATATCATCTAGATTTTCAGTAGAATTCTTATTTACTGCACTAGCATTATTTGCTTTGGGCTCACTAACAATGGTATTTACAAGAGGAATAGAATGAACTGGCCTAAGATCTAACAACTGCATGAGATCATCTTGTTCCTTGTGCTTCAAAATGTAGAGACCGTGCTCCTTTTTACCGATCCCCATCACATTCGTAGTGAAGAGCTCCTGAAATATACAGAATTAATTAGGAAAGAAAGCTCTGGACATCTTAACTCTTTTGTGATCTTTGACACTGACATCAAATTAAACTTGAAGTCTGGAATATAGAGTACATGATGTACTAATTTATCCTTAAACAATGATAGATCACCAGTGTGACTAATAGTAACCTTTTCACCATTAGGAAGTTGAATTGAATTTTTGTCACTGTCTGATAGTTTCTTAATATTGCTCAGTAGATTCAAGTTGTGAGCTATATGATTAGTATCACATGTATCTATAATCTAATTATTGCTCACTGGATGAGACATGAGAGCTGTTATTGTACCTGTAGTATTCATTATTGCAGAATTAGCCATAGTTTCAACCTGTTTACCTTTGTTCAGCATCTGTAGGATCTGATTATATTGATCCTGATTGAAGAGAGGTGCTGAAGGGGCACTTGTTGTTGCTGAAGAACCACCACCTGCTGAAACATGTGATAGAATCACATTAGAAATGTCTACTTGTTGGTTAGGTGAATCAGATGTTAAGCTAGCATTGTGGGCATATGTACCTTTGGAATCAGGAGTACCTCCCTCTACTTTCTTGCCTCTAAAATCATTGGGATAACCATGAAGCTTATAACAATTATTTATGGTGTGACCTTTAAGATGACAGAAGTCACATTGAAGAGATGATTTTTCAAAGTTATTTTTGGGCTTATAACCACGATTGTAAATACTAGTAGGGGCTCTGTTACTCAGCAGAGCTGTAGGATCACCAACACCAACAATAGCATTGTTTCTTCTCTGACATTCCATATTAATGATCATTGTATATGCTTGATTTATATTAGGTACTGGTCTAGTCATAAGAATCTGATCCTTAGCATTATCAAAAGAATCATTTAGCCTAGTAGGAAACTAATACAACTTTTGAAACTGGTAATGTTCTACATTTTGTTTAGGTTCTGGACAGCCACACGAGGGAGGAGGAACTAAAGCCTCATATTCATTGACCTTATTAAACCACTCGCGAAGTTCTTCCCAAACCTTGTGAGCATCATAAGCATATATTACAGAACTAAGTAAATTTGTGGCCATAGTGTTCATTATCTCGGCCAGCACAATAACATTACACATATCCCATAGCTCATGTAAGTTAGGATCAAACATGTATTTTCTACAAGTTCCTAACACAAAATCTAGTTTGTTTTTACCATGCAATATAATTTTCATAGATCGACTCCACAATTAATAATTTTTAGAACCTCGAAGTTGAATTGAAATAAGAACTGCACCTTGTGTATCAAACAAATGAATATAGAGAGGGTGATTGTGATGAACTAGGTCTATATTTTGATCGTGTAGTGTTGGAGTGGCTGGGCAGAGGATGCGTTTTCCTCGATAGTCATTACAGTAATCAAATAACAGATCTTCCAAAAACGACAATTGAGATTGAAGTTTTACAGTGAATCGAGATCTTTTCAAAGAGGAACAATCGCCTTAGATCACATATTTGAATACGAGCTCAATTTGTGAGAATTCTCCACTTACTTCTCTTCACACCTAGCTTCTCCTAATTGCTAAACTAGGTAATGTCACCGGAACTTTGATACCATGTTAATGGAGGTCAGCTATGGAGGTGAGCAGAAGAGGAAGTGAAATGAGAAAACATAGGAAGAGGAATTCATTCTCTCTTGTTTCAATATTGAGCTACAAAACTGAAATAAAAATACAATCCTCTATTTATACAAAAGACTTACTAACTAACTAACTTGTTTTAATTTAATCTTACGCTAATGCCAGCTTATTAACAACTGGCTTCTAGCTGTGTAACTGCTCCTAACTAACTGCCTCAACAATAACACATGGTAGTCTGATCCCAATTCAATCGGCTAGGCACCTAAGCATATTTTGTGTACATCACAATAGTCTGATGTCACCTTTGTCAACTACTTGAGAGTTCTAGCCCAATTGAATTTGAAGGTAGAATTTACTTCCCAATCTATATTATAATAAAAGTTTAGAATGAGGATATTTTACTTACGTTTCTACGTGTTATCAATTTCTACGTTGTATTTCACGCTAAACAATATATTTTAATGGAAAGTTGTAATAAAAGCTATACTATTTAAGTACTAGATGAACTTGAATTTGGATTTTATTAAACTGTTTTCACAAATTAGTTGGTTATATTTTACGTATATTATATGATGAAAGTTCATAACCATAAATTTTGTATAATTAACATCACTTTCTCAATAACAAGATCAAGGGAAATGTAGTTAGGAATATATAATGTATACTATTACAGGTTATCAACGAAAAATGTTCAGAACAAATTTAATTAGTTTGCTCAGGTAAATAAATAAATTCGTATATATAAAATTAGTTAGTGCAGTCTACGGTATTTTGCAGCCTAGTTTATAGTTTTGTTATAGGTGTCTACTAATGTTCGAATTCTATATCCAGAAATATTAAATCTGAAATTTTTTAAAAGTTGATGGTAAACACATATACTTAATATAGGATCCCCATTTTTGTGAAGGATGTTGGTTTAAGAGAACTGTTTAATCAAAAAATTAATGTTTAGATTAAGCAATTGAATTTATTTTATTAGGCCTCTAGCAATCTGTTTGAACCAAAATAATTAAATTAAAAAGAATAAATCAAGATTAAGAGGATAGACGGACCGTAAATATAAAACACAATATAAATTAAAGAGATTCTTATTGAGTAGACTATGGACTTCGATCCCCTTTGAATAGAATATTGAACAAGTGCATTATAATCTCTGAAGAACAAGAACATGAACGATATTTACGATGGTAGCTGTGGTTAATTGAGATTAGAATGCCCATATAAGTGTAAATGGAAGGATATTTTCTGATTATGAGTATTGCAGTATTGCTCGAAATGCCCGTGCTATGTGTCACGATCTTTTTGGCCTTTTAACGATGATTATCACTAATATGTCTAAACTTTGTTAGACAATTGTTCAAAATGATAACTAAAGTTCTAAATGCGATCCTCATTGACTTTAAAATATGACCACTTGTTCTGTTTGGCAGTGTTTTTACCAGGTTTATAGGGTGGGCAGCACTGGACTATCTTTTCGGCCTTTTGTTTTTTTAACCACTCATTTGTTCAGCTTGTCATTCAAAAGAAAATGATCAGATTCCATGACAATATCACCTAACTTGGAGAAAATAACAAAAATGGTCCTTTTTATTCCTTTTTTTTGTTGTTGTTGTTGTGTGTG